TTGATAAATTTTAAAGAAGATCTACGATTTTATTTGTAAGTAACTTAAACAAGGTATAAATAAACAAAAATGATTTGACTCTGCCCAACACAATATCGATAATCTACCAGTTATTATTATTTTCACAATTATAAGGATATAGTGCAGTACATATTAAGTTCACTCTATCAAACATACCGAGAATCTGCTTACATGGTTATCTTCATGATCTTTCAAAATAGATATGTATAAAATATGAGCAAATTCTTCTGTTTTGAATTATTATATGACTGCCGCAAATAGTCTATAATTGTCGAACCTTTTTTTGGTGAAGAAACTCTTGGATTAGAACAATTTGCTTACAATATTTTTATACCCTGTACCCGTAGGGTAAAAAGGGTATATTAGGTTTGTGCGAGAGAAATCGATCTAGACATGTCCGTCCGTCCATCTGCCCGTCCGCCTGTCCGTCCGTCTGTCCGTCTGGATGAACGCAAGGATCTCAGAAACTATAAAAGCTAGAATAACCAAAGTAGGCATCCAGATTGTACCCAAAGGGTACAAGGGTATAGTAGTTTTGTGCGAGTGCACATGTAACACACAGAAGGAGGCGTGGCAGACCCCACAAAGTATATATATTCTTGATCAGCATGACAAGCCGAGTCGATATAGCCATGTCCGTCTGTCTGTCCGTCTGTCTGTCCGTCTATCTGTCTGTATGAACGCAGACACATCCAGTTAGTAATTATATATCCGTATACCAAGTTTCATTATGATAGGTTGATCAGAGTTATAGCCATATAACCATGCCCAATGCACACATACATACATATGTAAGTACACAAACACGCATAGACACGATTCTGATGTAAATGTATGTATATTTTATGTATGTATGGAATATTTTATATTTAATTTAGTTAATTAAATTAATTAAATTAAATTAAATTAATTAATTAAATTAAATTAATTTATTATTTTGTGGGGTGGTACAGTGTATTTAAGAGTTGAGCCTGCTCGACTTTAGCATTCCTTTGTTTTAAAATAATAATGTGATTCGAATCTTTTGGGACCCAATTCGCTTAAAAATGTATTTAAAATGTATCACATCAAATGGGCACATAAATAAAAGTACGTTAAGTTCTAAACTACGTAAAGTACTGAGCTGATTTGTAATGTATTTTTAAGTGGCTTAGCTATTTTTAAATTTCTTACTTACACACGCATTCTTCAATAAAACGCCATCATTTGCAAGACTTGGCCGGCTCAAAAAGTGGCTTATCTTACTCTTCTGAGACAGCTTCAATTGCCGTTTTGCAAACCTCGGCGTTGTCATCATAAACTCTCGCCCACAACATGAGATTTCCACCGAAGATTCGTGTTTTCTGATGTGTGGTCATGCCGTAGACAAGTGCACTCCTCAAACGGCAGAGGGTCGGCAATGTGACATAAATGCCAGTTTTTAATTAAAATGTTGCTGCTGTTGTTGGACGTGTGAACATCAACCTAATAATAAACAAGATAGAACGCTACAGTCGAGCAAGCCCGACAGTAAAATAGCCTGTGCTCTCCACAAAAAGGGAAAATTAAAAAAAAAAAAATTTAAAAAAAAATAAATTATTAAAAAAAATGAATGAATTAATTAATTAAAATAATTAATTAAATTAAATTAGAATACATGTTTATGTTCAGTTTTAACAGCACACATTTACATCACGTACCTATGCGTGTTTATATGCGTGTATGTATGCAGCACAAAGTTGAACAAAAGCAGCAACAATAACAGCTGCGGGCAGCGCTGCCGACAGAGCTGCAGGCAGCGCATGAGCAGCGATTTTACTTATGGCTATAACTTTCTTCAGAATTGACCTATCATGATGAAATTTGGCACACGGACACATTAGTACTAACTGGATGTACCTACCAAAATTGATTTTTAAATTCCGAGAATTACGGAAGTTATAAGAAAAAATACGAATTGCGGGGGAGTGGGGGGGTGTATCAGAAAAAATAAACAAACTCGTTCTGCCTAGGGCTTATAGGAACCTTGATACCAATTTTGGTTATCCTAGCTCTTGTACTTACTGAGATCCTTGCGCTCATACAGACAGACGGACAGACGGTCAGACGGACAGACGGACAGACGGACATGGCTATATAGACTCGTCTTCTCATCCTGATCAAGAATATATATACTTTGTGGGGTCTGCCACGCCTCCTTCTGTGTGTTACATACATGCGCACAAAACTAGTATAGCCTTTCACCCTTTGGGTACAGGCTATAATAAGCGACGCAAGTAGTTATGGAAACTTGCATTTGTAGTGAGAAGCTCAACAATCAGTTAAAAGCATTTGGACATGCATCGGTGAATGAAATTATTTTGTACACAAAACTGCAAAATAATTAACCACACAAAACTCCATTGAACACACTTCAGTTGTTTCTATTGACGATGTATGTTCTTTTGAGAAACTTGTTTTATGTAGTTCAGAGTTTCAAAGTCAGCGCTACTTCTGGGATTGTCGATACACAATTCCATTATACATGCAATATATTTTTTTTGTTTGCCAGTCAAATGTCAGCCAAACGGGCCAAAAAATGATGAACCTTTTTCACACCTTAATGTTCTCCACGTGCATGGGACGGGCTCGATGTTAATGGTCTTGCGGTTTGCGTTAACTATAAAATTTTATGGACTCGCCACAAAAACCCAGCGCCATAATATTAATTAATAAAATATGCTTTATGCTATTTTATTGCAAGGGCCATTAAATATGGGTAGAATATGGGCGTAGAGAATTAATTAAAAGGTAATAATTTATGGATAACAACATTTTGTATTGTTTTTATCTATGTTGGGGAGTATGTAAGGACTTTTTTTTTTTAAAACAACTCGACAAAGTGATGACATAAAGTCAAGTCATATTGGTCGGCCTGATTTTTATAAACTCTATTAAATTAATGTTTTAATTTTTCAATATATTTCAATTTTCAATATACAATCTAAAAGGTTTCAATACCTCAACACACCTTTACAATTTGTACTCAGGACTTGGCTAGTTTGATCGTCGGAGCTACTTATTATTTTTGAATTGATTCCATTTCATTGAGGAATCAGGTCATGCGCTGAAAAGATATTAGCAACTACGGGAATTTTGATGTTGTAATTCTTAAAAGATGCATTTGTCGGTTTCTTTTATACGATATCTATTTGAAACACTTATGCCACTTATCTTAAATAATGAGATCCTTCTTCTGGGACTATTACCGTTATGTAACAGTATAGCCTGGGGAAGGCTCCATAACATTAAGCCCCACAGAATTAATAAACATAAAAATGTCAGTATATCTTGTTGGAAAGGTCTCCCAAAATTCGTTCCTTACATACAGAAATTTCTTTAAATTAATGCTCTTATTATTAATTACCCTTTTACACTTTATAATTATTAGAACTACGAATTTACTAAACTGTTTGGATTGTTATAATCAGCTAGTACTTACCTCGAGATAAATTATTTCGTAAACCACCGTGAATAATATCTAAAGTAATATTTAAAGTGACAAAATGTTTCGAGGAAAATTCAAAATTAAGAGCATCCTGTTCGGGAATTTTTCAGGTAATTTTTTTACACCTTGGGTCACATTATTGGCGTTTTAGTAAGGATCCCTATCTTTTTTGCCACTATAATATAGCTTATTTTAGCAGGGGATAGTGTAGCTTCCCAACAGTGAAAGAAACCTTTGAATTGAAAATTTTCGGAGCCTTTTCAACTCAAATAAACAACCACAAACACACAATCAAACAATGAAATCTTTCCTCTTTATATTATATTAGTATAGATGTGAAAATTCGAAATCGTGACGAACTTGTTATTTTAGAATGAAAATTCGATTCTAAAAGTAGGAAGTTATTTTACCGTCTGATTGATAGATTCAAAGTAATAATATATAATAATACATATTATATAATAATATACAATTTATAATAATAATAATAAAACAGGCTTAAAATTGGTAAGATGTTTGTGATTTCCAGAATTACTTTCGCCCCTGGATAGCTCAATAAAATCGGGCGTATAAAGGGAAAGCATTCAAATATTTTATTTAACTTTTATTGTTATGTTGTTATATAGACTTATTAGTATAATAATTTTTTCGCTAAAACCGAATAAGACGAACTTGTAATTGTAGTATTTACTTACATTATTAGTACACAGTTTTGGATTATTATTCGCCTATGTTTTTGCTTCATCTCTATTTCGTAGCTCAATGGAAATACCGCACATTTGCTTTCATATTTTTAAGGTCCAATTTCCTCTTGGCGGCTTCTTTGTTCTGGTGGGGCTTGTGTAGCAATTGCCCTGACTTTGCTTTATTTTAACGGTTTGCTGGCCACGTGCAAGCTTGTTGCCTACTGTTTTCTTATTTTCAAGTAACTACAGAAATAACAAAAACAATTTCAAACTGGTTTCGCCTGGGACTTGGCTAGAAAAAGTCCAACTTGCGGCTTAAACACACGAGTATGCCACAGAGTACAAAAGCCACCAGCCAAATGCTGCAAGCTGCGCGCTTACGGTCGTCGTCGGCAGCGTTGCAATTAGTCTGGCTAAAGTCGTGCCTAACGGTAAACAATATGCTGCTTCCGCCGTCGCTCACAATGTTCATAACCAACATTTACTGCATTGCCGGCAGTCGGACAACGCTCTCCTCTCTCTAATCGTATCAAAGTCGTGAGATTTATTCCGATAATGTCGGCTCAAGTGATAGATTACAACGCTGTATCTCTTTGGCTTGGTTTTTTTTTTTTTTTTTGTTGTGGCTTGTTGATTTTGTTGTAGTTGCGCCGCAGACTTCTAATTTTGAGCACATAAAGCCGCTTAGCCTCTGCTTTAAGACTGGGACTGATGTTGGGTGGGAATTTTCTGTAGAGGGTCTCGGGGGTTTAATGGAACTTTTGTGTTTTTATCATTAAGCACTTGCCCTCGATCGATCTTTACTTTTTTTGCTTTTTTTCTTACAGATTAATTGTTTTTAAGGCTTGTACAATCAAGAGGTAAGTTGAAAACATGAATCAGTTTGATTTAATCGACAACTTCTGAAGTTTTGGTAATAAACACATTGCAAGTCCATACCATATATTGCCTCATTATTTTATATAACTGCCAATAGGAGAGCCCAAGGATGAAATAATATCTCTTAGTACGATAATCTCTTTCCTTATGAAGATATCTTGAGGCAATTATGAGATTTGTATGCTATTCTGAACCTTAATAAGTGAAATAGGTGTACTATATTCCTATTTAGTGATGTACATAGGAACAATCGAAAATCAAACTCAATGATTAATTAATAGACTTATTTTTTATTTTGTTTAGTAAATAAACAAATAGTGCTGTCGATACATATTTAAATGATTGATTTATATTATATTTTAATATTATAGATTGAAATAAAGACATGTATTAATATTACGTTGCCATTTAAAGTTAAAAGATAAGAAAGCCTAAGAAGGAATCACAGCCATATGTGGTCAGAGACATTATAGACCTAACAAACTAATGATTTAAGTACTTACTATTTGTAAGTAGATGAGGAAAATTAATTATACTTATCAGCTAATTAAGCATAGAGAGAAAGAAGGGAAATCACAGCAGTAAGTGGTCAGAGATTTCCCGGAGATAACTTTAAAGGATACATAGAATTGAGAGAGGGTTCTGTCGAAAGGAAATGCGAAAGATCATTATATCTATACCAAATGACCCGAAAACGAGCGCAATTAGATGAATCACTACGAGATCACAAGTAGATCAAGAATATAAATTATTAAAATTCGAAATGGTATCTGCACATATATTTGTCAAAAGTTTTCGATATGTACACAGCGGCATAACATCAAAATATAGCCACGTTTGTACAACTCAATCCGCTGCCATATAACAAGCCATCAACTGTGCTACCATTTACGAGTATGCAATGCAAACCATTTTGGGAGGCACTTATAGTACAGAGTGAGAGCGGCGCCATTTTAGGCATAAGTACAACCCAAACCACATAGACCCAAGTATGCTCTAGCATTTATGTACATGCGAGTGCTCCTCCAGTTTGCATTACTTGGCCAGCTTGTCAATTAGCGCCGCGTCCAAATGGCTTCATTACCATCAATCTTAATTGAAAAATCATTGAGGCTGCTTATAAATTCAGCGAGAAGATGGCGACGATTCGCCATATGGTCTGGTCTGGTCTGGTCCCTCTGCCATCATTTCGCCCGATGATTTGCTGCTCATGTAACTTGTAACGGGCGACAACAACTTAAGTAGCTTGAATTATGAGACAGTCGGACACAGAGACGGACCATCAAGGCGAGAGTACGAGTAGATAGAGACATGGACATCTCGCTTAAGTAGCTGCAGTTATACTAGTACTCGGCTATATCTGCCGATGTTTGTGTTGCTGCTGTGCAAATTGTGTGCAATCATTGTCAATTTACAATGCACAGGCATGCAAAATGACTTGACAGACTGAAGAAAGTACATATTGAAGTACAATAGTGTGCGACTGTCTGTGGACGCAGTTCAACAGCGCACCTTGAACTAGAGGGGCGATCGACGTCGCCACAAGCAACTGGAGACTGGGTGTGGGGCCGATATGCAGACCTGGAGACGCAGAGGAGGCTTATCCAAGCCCACAGATCTCTTGTTGATTTTGTTTTCCTCGGGGTCGAGGTGATTTGTTTGGATGTTTACCTTCTGTGTGTTTGTTTGCTTGTTTGTTGGCCTCGCACCCAAGCGTATGAATTTTCGTCGCTTTTAGTTGCAAGTTTTGCATTTTCTCGTTGAGTTGGTTCTCACTCCTTAGTCAATTGTTATCGTAAGCAAATTTGTACGTTTTGTGTATTTGTATCTTTATTTATTTCCATAATATTATTTTTTGTGCTTCGCAGCAATTTTTCACTTCCCGTAATCGCACACTTTTATTTCTTTATTTACTGTTTTTATTAAAAATTTATTTTGTACTTTATTTTTGTTGTTGCTTCTGATCGTATAAATCAAATGGGTAAAAAAATATAAAACCGTGAACGGGCAATTCGTCGTCTGGGGACAATAACCACTGACAGCTGTTGTTTGTGATTAATTTTCATGTGGCGACGCGTTGCATTTATGTATTTATTTGAACGTGCTCACTTGATTATGGGGGCAGCTCAGACGAAATTGGGCTTTACGATATAAGGCATATGCTGACTCCTAAATGGTTAACGCTTGCAATTCAGGTCAGAAGCTAAAACGTACTTACCGCAGATTTTCTTTAAATTAAAAAAGAATCCTTTGGTTCCAGTACTGTCAGGCATTTGCTATGCAATTCTATAGTATAAATATATATATAATTATAATTACTCACATATAATAAAAATTCAATTACAACTAGTATTGCCCCTGATAAAAATGTCTCCCATTTTAATTTTTTTTTAATTTTTCAATTTTTGATAGAAGTACAGAAATATGCAGATATTTTTTTAGGTATGAAATAAAACTAAAGAATAATTCATGGAGATTTTCAAAACGATTTAAAAGAGTTACAATTCCTGTTACAAGTATGCTCCTTGGAAACATGTACATATGTGTGTATATGTACATATTAAAGTATTAAGTAATTTGTAATTTTATTTGTAATCTCTATCCTAGCGTTACAAGTTTAGGTTACTTTTAACTACAAGTACGCTAGTCCCGTTTAAGGAGTGTTTTCTTCAGCTGCTACATCTATGTTATATTTGTTTATTCGTACAGCTGTATGAGATATTTGCACCGATTGTTCCATAAACAATTTAGAAATACAAAATTTGCTTAGAATATGCTTATGAACAAAAAAAAGTTATCCTAATTGGGGAGATTTTAGCAGCTGAGTGAAATAATGATGCTATATATCGATATATCGATCTCAACACATCTTCCCGGTACTTGAAAATAAAATAATATGCGCCTTTAATCATCGATTTTTACTTACCTAAAAGAAAATAGAAACTTGTATATTTGCAAATGAACCGAATGCTTTATTAATTAGAAGGCAAGCGTAAAGAATTCAATGCAAACAGAATTAGTTATTAAAGAAATATGCGAAAACCAGTCGCAGTACGGCGAGGCAATCTAACAGCCATGCAGGCCTGCACAAGTGGCCGATTAAAACCTGTACCTACAATCCAATAGCTATAATCTATATCTATAAGCTAGCTAAAAAAGTATTTGCAATTGCATGTAACGAGCAGGGCATGGCAACAACAAAATAGAAATTGTGTTAATGACGCACTTTGTGGCCAAAGTATTTTGACCAATTAACAAAATGCAGTGTGGTGGCGAGGCATTTGCATGCAGCCTTTCAACAATACGGCTGGAATGTCTAGCGTGCAATGTGGAGCAGCATTGACATAGATATGCAACTGAAGCATTGCCGCTGATGTCATTAATGTGGCATTAGTGTGATGGCAGTGGCACAGTTCTACGCTGAAAGGAGTTGCAACCAGAGCAGCAGGTGGAACAAACGCCGCTGGGGCTGTGCTGGTGTCTATCCACATAATTGATGATGACATGCAGGGAATGCGTTTACGAGTATAAATATGTACGAGTTTAGACGAGCGGCTGCAATTACAAAAAATGTCAGTAGACAATTATATAATTGACTTGGACATAGCGGCAATGTTGACACAGTCACTGCATCTACTAATTGAGGTTGAAAGTCGGGCAGCAGCAGGAGCACACATCGGTAATCTTGATGTTGCTCACGATCTCGTGATATCGGGCAAATGTGTGTCACACACACACTCATACATTAACACACACACACACATGCACTTAACATTAAATGAAATTAAATTGCAAGCGCAACTCTCGACAGGCAACGATGACGCCGACATCAACTCTCAATGCTGATGACATCGTTTGACAACATTGACACGCATCTTGACAAAATGTATCTAATAGATAAGCGTTGTGCGCGCCCCCATCGAGCACCTAATGGCCTGTAACTGCGGTCATGCAAGTTGATGTACTTGTACAAAGGTAGAATGTGTATTTAAATATGTTGGGGTTTCTACATTGTTTCTTAAGGATAAGGGCCACAAAGGCAAACTTGTGTTCTCTAGCGCGTGAAAACTGATAAGCACATTTAGAATATCTCTTTTAGTCTCATAAATGCAGTGAAACTTAAGAGCCATACATACATATGTATGTACTTTCGGGTAAATGAAGTTATTTCAAGTACGTGACAGGCATCCCAAGTTGTCACATAGACATGTTTAAGCCAGCTCGTAAATGGAACATTCGTTTTCGAAAATGGGTCACTCTATTCGCTTTTTAATAGGATTCTAAGGATTTTGAAACAGATAAAAACTGACTTCAAAAAAGGAAGATGTTACTAATTCGTCTCTAGTTTTTTTTTTTGTAGACCGACTTCAAAAAAGGAGTATTATTTTATATATATTTTTATTGGTTTTTTGTTTTTTTATTTATTTTTATACCCTGTACCCAAAGGGTACAAGGGTATATTAGTTTTGTGCGAGTGCACATGTAACACACAGAAGGAGGCTTGGTAGACCTCACAAAGTATATATATTCTTGATCAGCATGACAAGCCGAGTCGATATAGCCATGTCCGTCTGTCTGTCCGTCTGTCCGTCTGTCTGTCTGTATGAACGGAAGGATCTCCGAAAGTATAAGAGCTAGAATAACCGAACTTGGTATACAGATTCTCCTGAGACCGAGAAAGGACGAGTTTGTTCATTTTTTCTGATCCACCCCCCCACTCCCCCCCTATTAACGATTTTCTATAACTCCCGTAATTCTTGGAATTTTGAACTAAAATTTGGTAGACACATCCAGTTAGTAATTATATATCTGTATACCAAGTTTCATTATGATAGAATGATCGGAAAGAAAGTTATAGCCATATAACCAGGCCCAATGCACACATACATACATATGTACAAGTACACAAACACGCATAAGGCACGATTCTGATGGAAATGTAAATGTATGTATGCATGCATGGAATATTTTATATTTAATT